CCGAGCAAACAAACTCTGATAACCCTATCTTGGACATTGGGTGCACAAAATGGGAAGGTGGTCCATATTAGCCCTAACATCCCTCAATTTTGAGTTCAAAATTGTGAGCCAAAAATAATTTTAAGATTCATATGCACTTCCCTGAAATATCTCTGACCAATCTGGATAATTTCAGATTTAAAGGGCAGTATCTAGTAAATGGCATAATAGACCATGGCTCTCAGTGCTACAATACCCTTGTTATGTTACATATTTGGAAATGGTATCTTATGTTGCACCCAAACCACATGATTAGTATTCCAAAGAGGTTTAGTTTCTAGGTCAGCTGGGTGTCTTGATACAAGTGGAAATCACTCCGAGATTAAATCTACATTTCCAGCTCTCAAAAATTCACACAAGGCCAGTTTCTGTTTGTTAGTTCTGGAGTGCATAATCCCTCCAGGGAGAAGGGTGAGGCAACATAGCCTTCTGTAGAACACATAAGAACATAAGAAATGCTAGACGAAAAAAAGAGCAACCTCCATCTAGTTTGCCTTCCACCTTCCTGGCGGTCGCATACACATATGTCCCCTTTGTACCCTATACCATAATGTTATTTCCTAAATGAAAACTATCTAATCTGTATTTGAAGGATTCAACGCTTCTTGCTTCAACCGTCTCCCTAGGGAGCCTGTTCCACAGGTTTACTATTCGCTCACTGAAGTAATGTTTCTGTAGATTTGTTCTGAATTTACCTCCCTTTAATCGCAGGCCGTGTCCTCTGGTTTTACTATTTTGAAACAGCCTATCATGATCTATATTGTCTAGCCCCTTTAGAATCTTAAAGACAGCAAACATTTTGCCTCTCAAGGAATAAGGAAGTCACATATGTCCTGGAAAATAAAAACCTAAATGGGGTAGAGGAGCAAAGGATCTAGGGGTACATAGACACAATTCACTAAAAGTAGCAACGCAGGTTAATAAGGCCATAAAAAAGCAAACCAGGAATTGGGGTTCATTTCTAGAGGGATAGAAATGAAAAGCAGGGAATTTATGATAAACTACTATAGAACGTTGGTTAGACCACACTTAGAATATTGTGTGCCGTTCTGGTCCCCACATTATACAAGGGATGTGGAGGCACTGGAGAGGGTGCACAGGAGATTCACAAGGCTATCCCAGAACTGAGATGTTATGCCTATCAGAAAAAGCTGAACGTACTTGGACTCTTTTCTCTTGAAAAGAGGAGGGTGAGGGGTGACCTGATAGAGGTCTTTAAAATGATGAAAGGTTTTGATAGGGTAGACATAGGGACGATGTTTCCACTTGTGGGGGAAAACAAAACCAGGGGCCATCAATATAAACTAGTCACAAATGATCAAATAGAGAAGTTGGAAGAAATTTCTTCACACAGAGAGTTGTGGGAATGTGGAACATGCTACCACAAGGAGTCATGGAGGTGAATAGCATAGATGTATTTAAGGGAAAGCTAGATAGCTACATGAGGGAGAAAGGAATAGAAGGTTATGCTTGAAGGCTTAGTTGAGGAAGAGCAGGAGGAGGCTCATGTGGAGCATAAACACCGGCCTAGACCAGTTGGGCCAAATGACCTGTTTCTGTGCTGTATATTCTAATGTAATGTATTCTCTTTTCCAGCGTGAATATGCCGAAATTACTTAGCAGCTCCTCATAGTTCAGTCCCTTCATTCCCTAAATCATTTTGGTTGTCCTCTTCTGTATCCTCTTGATTTCTCCCATATCCCTTTTGTACTGCAGCGATCAGAACTGTACACAGTACTTTTAAGTTCAGTCTCACCAATGATTTATACAGTGGCAGGATTACCCCATTATTTTGGCTTGCCATTGATCTTTTGATACATCCCAACATCTGGGTTGCTTTACTCACTGCCACAGAGCACTGTTGCGAGAACTTCAATTTATTGTCAATCAGGACCCCCAAGTCCTTTTCATTTTCGATACATATTATTTTCCTTCCGTTCAAATAATAGTCTCTTCCAGGATTTTTTGTGAAGTACTTTACATTTCTCCATATTGAATTTCATCTGCCACTGGTCTACTGAATTCCCAAGTATGTTCAAATCATACTTTTGCAGGTTAACATTAGGGATCCCAAAGTGGTCTCTCAGCAGTATTTTAATGAGATTTGACAGTGCGCAACTGACCAAACAGATTTTGCGCCTCCCAGGCTGTTTTTTTTTATTATTTAAAATTTGAACGAGGCTGGTTGCAGCATAGTTTTGAACCCAAGTATTATATTCTCAAATGAACAAACCCATATAATACTTCAGAAATTATCAGGCAGATTTTGTAAAACTATCACTGTTCATGGATTTTAAATGAGGTTCATTTTGGTCTTCAAAAAAGCATTAAGTGTAGATGGTTTACCACCACATTCAGCATTATCGCTTGTGATTTTATTAAAAACTTTTATTAAAAACTTGCAGTGAGTCAGTTGGGCAGTTAAATTTATTTCCCGAGTCTTTGTGGATGATTGCTGTCATTGGCCTGAGGTTTCAGCTGCACTTTATTTATTATTATGTTACTGGTTACCTCACCTTGCTGACAGTCACGCTCACAAAAATACACTTTACAGTAAATCCTGTGAAGTGCTTTGAGATTTCCTCCAAACATGAAAGGTGCTATATCAAATGCAAGGATTATTATTATTACTACTCTTACTTCAGCAGAATGCTTGTCACTAGAATCTATATGCCTGTTTTTTGCTCACCCTGTAGTGTTGCATACCTGAGAGAATCTTACTCCACACCAACCGTTCTGGAGTTTTATGGGATTTTCTGCCACATAAAAAAATAAATATTTCCAACAGTAAATACCGGGGTAATAATCCCTTTTTTTAAAAAAATGTGGTCACTCAATCCACGACACTTGTGGGACACTAATGTGAGCAATTGGCTGCCACAAAACACAGTCAATTCACTTTATAGTATATTTTGTGAAGCGCTTTGAGACATTTCGAAGACATGATAAGGCACTATAGCAAATGCAAGGATTATTATTTTTATTTTCACCAATGATCTGACTTTGTGCAGATCAAAAAATTATCAATGTTATTCACTAGCAAAATGGTCAAATACAATAACCTAAACATGAAAAGAAACCTGTAACTGTATGACATATCTTAGAATCTGTCAGATTGCTTGTATTGAACAGTTTCTCTTCCCCCTTAAAATAAAAGTTCCTCACTTTCGAAATTCCCAATTTTGGTTAACACACAATGTGTTCACCATTTCCTTCTCTGTCAACACTAATCCTGTTAAATAGCATCTTTTATTGGGCAGCCTGAAAGAATGGAAAATGTGCCCTCTACCTCAACTTTACTGCTTTTTCATTCTGGAGGGCAAGTGAAATCTTGACCTTTTTGTTTCTTTGAATTTGCTTGGTAATTTCCTACAGTGTCAGACCTCCACTGTTGAATTTGTAATTTTAGAGTGTCATCCCATGCTACGCATAGGCCTTTTTAAAAAAAACTCCCTTTTCCGAAGTAATGACTTCTGTTGAGGTACTGTTGTACAGGTACCAGGTACCATCAATCAAGTAACTACTTGTCATGCATGATTGTAGCCAGTTAGCTTTGACAGGCCATATAACCTGGGGACAGGGAAATTGTAGCTGAGCTCAGTGCTATTCTCCCACCAAATCCACACAAGGGTCACTTGCCAGCCAATTGGAGGTAGGGAGCCACTATTATACACAGTAAACTCCTGATAACTCAGCACTCCAAAGGTAAAGGGCTCAGTGACGCATTATTCTGAGTGGTGAGTTAGGCATATGCATAAATATTGACAGCATGATGATTTAAGTGGTAGTGACAAGTTCAGCCAGACTTGAGTTATCAGGAATTCACTGGATAGAAAAAATATGTATATGTGTGTGTATATTACCAACAAAGACATCAAGGGAGCATGTGTCGTATTTATCAATTGCTCATACCGATTTCTAAATTGAGATGAGGAGAGAAAGAAGATCTTTACATACATAAGTGTGTTTTTTAACGAACAAAATAGTCAGTTAAAGAAGGCAGGTTCTAAAGTATCCATAAACTCACACATCGTTTTCTTTTTCTAACATTTGGAATTGGATAAGATGCTGTTGTTTGTCAGATAAAATTGCCGGAAAATAGTTAACTGCTTAGTTCACAAAAGACTTTACAATATTGAAGCTAGGAGCTAAATATTAGTTATTTAGTTGTCCATTAACTTGATGGCACCCATTAACTGTCTAGGAAAATAAGGCATTTTAGAAACATCGGCATGTACAGGAATGTACCAAATGGCTGGTCTGAAAGTTGAAAAACAATTGTGCACTACTCCAACTTTCTTGGACCTCAACAAATTTCTTTGACACATCACTATCCAATTCCATCTTGAATTTGCGTTTACGATGTGTAATCAGGTTTTTGGTCAACTTTGAACTGGGATTCAACCTTTCAAGTCTCATACCCCTTTTACTGAAATTATTTTTTGGTCAGCAGATGTCTGACACGTGGAAATCTGGCATCTTGGTTCAGACTGTGCAAATCAGCCAGAGTTCCACATATGTAAGCCACCTACACATGGAAATGCCCCTGTGTCTGGAATGGAGCATGTACTCTTCCCAGAGGACACCCTTTGCTGATTCCATTCCAGAGAATATTAGGCGCAGATTGGCAAGATCCAAGGTTTGGGGACCCCAGAGTGTGTGTTGGGGTACTGCTGAAGTCTCCAACCAGCTAAAAATGCAGAGCCTGCCATTGATAGCACTGTCTGGCAACCTTCCCACTGCTTGTCCTGCTAGGACCACCCTACACTTCAGGGCTTTGGCTTGTAAGGTTGACAGGAGCTGACTGGGAGGATTCCCTGAACCCATTGATTGCTGTGCCCCTCCAAGTAAAAAAAAAAGTAACCCACTGCAACAGTCTACCCAAGAAAAATGTATTTAGTCTGTTTATTAATGTCAAAAAAAACTTAAAACTGAATACTTCCAATTTTCATTTCTTTCAGGAAACATTATCTAATGAAGCCAACTGTGTTGAAGAAATTCTCAAGGTAAGATCGACCTTATTACTGTTTTACACGCTGCCTAGTTTAATGTTACATGTTCCATTGTCTAACATTTTGCATTCTGCCTTAGATTTGTACTGCTCCATCACTGCTGCCATCGACGAAGGGTAACTTGACACTATACTGAGTCATATTGCTTTCAGCAGTATTTTATCAAACTAATTGCTCAATAGCTTTTCCCAAGTCTATTGTCGGTAAGGAATCTGCTTATAGTGGTGTTCTAATACTTCAATCTACTGTAATAGGCTCATGAACTAGAACTTCTGGAATAGTTATTTACTCTGATTCCAGCACTTCAATGAATAATTTGAAGTGCAGCACTCACATCTCAAACTCACTCATATTCTCTTTCTTGCTATCTCTTGCACATGCACACTTACTCTCTCACTCTCACACACACCCACACTGTTTTGGGACTTAAATTCCAAGGAATGTTTGTTTACTGACTGGAACAGAGGAAATATTAAAGTTCACTCAATCAGCAGGAGAAGCTAACTGTAATATTGTAGTGAACTGTACTTTGTTTTTGCCATTAATCTTGTCCTTTTTCACTCTTCACAGTTTTATATTTTATGTATGTAAGCACAATTTTTGTTGTGGCACTCAATTGTCAAAAACTTTATTGATATTGAGGCATATTAAGACTGGTGATTTCAGCTTTTCTCATATAACTCCTAAGTGATTGTACTGATAATAACATAATGAACTCTGTATTTGATATCACGCCTTATCACATCGAAAGATCTCAAGCATATTTGTAAGAGAATATGACAAGTGATTTGTACACAGCAGTAACCCATAAACAGCCATAAAGCAAATGACCATTTTTTTTATTTGGGAATTTGTAGGCCAGGATGCCAGGAATAACTCCTTTCACTTAGCAAACCGTGCTAATGGGTTCTTTAACAAATGGGACTTTGGTTTAATGTCTCGTCCAAAGCACAGCATCTCCCAACAATGCAGCTCTCCCCAGAACTGTGTTGGAGTGCTAGCCTAAACTATGAGCTCAAAGCTCCTGATATTGGGTTTGAACCTACAAACTTTCTGATTCAGAGACGAGAGTTCTACCAACTAAGCCAGGCCCACCTAAGGACCACTTGTTAAAAAGAAGCAATCTAGTGTTAAAAGAAAAAATAGCCATCTTCCAGGTCATTGGATCACCATCAATGTGACTGGCTGTTTGCTGCGCATGCACATAACCCAGATATCGGACACTTTTTTAAGCACAAGATGTTAAATTGGTTGACTCGGGGATGATTAGGTTGCCATTGATGTCATTTCTTGCCAAGTGGCTTGTACAGCCACCTATTACTCCTGGGTGTTGATCATTTTTGCTTCCCACATTTAAAAAAATGGTGGGTAACATCTGGATCCTACTCATGTGAAGGAAACAGGAAGAGACATTGGCAGTGACTCCATGACATGGAAGTTGGCTGGAACTGACCAGCATACAAGGAGTGAGTTGACCGGCTGCACAAGCGTGCAGTTAATATAGCACACAGTTGAACCACATTATAAGCCAATTTAGATTTAAGATGGAGGTAGATAAATATTTGTTCGGTCAGGGTATGAACGGCTGTGGGGTAAGGGCAGGTTACTGGACTTGAGGTACAGATCAGCCACGATCTATAAAATGGCGGAACAGGCTTGAGGGGGTGAATAGTCTACTCCTGTTTCTATGTCTATGTATCCTATTTATGTAATTTGTGGTATAGTGAAATGTATTATAATGGGGCTACAGTGTAGTTTTAATGCATTCGTCAGTACAGCACTAATTTGTACAGTGGTGCCAGTAGGGAATGTACAGTTATACAGGGAGAGAAACACGATGGCAATGGAGCTCCACGCTTGCCTGGTGTGTGCTTTCCCAGGTACTGGCAGAAGAGGTGACAGTCCTGTAGAAATTAGACAGTGGAATATGGAATGGCAATAGGCTGCAGCTCTATCCACAACAACAGCAGGGCTACATTAAATTTGATTACTAATGCTTTCTATGCTTACAGTTTACAAGTTACTGGGGAAAAAATATTGAAACAAAGGGAATTGGCCATACAATATCAGCACATTCCTATAGGATTTATAGGTCTACTTTCGGGAACTGTACCTATCACAGTTGTAATATAACAGAATGAGCAAGTTGGAGAAAATGGTTTTATGGTTTAGTTTTGTGGCTTGCATTGCCTCAGTCATACAGCAATGTCTCTTATTACCACAGAGTATACAGAAACACTGTACATAAAAGGCGTTTATAAATGTTATCCTCCCACATTGATTCAGATTTGACGAATAGGATGTTCAGCAGTTGTGGACTATTTCTCAAATTACTTAAAATGTGTCTTGACACATTTGATTGAAGTGACTGGAGATGAACTGACCGTAGATTAACTATTTTGAACTAAACTGAACCGAAGAGGAATTAGTGTTTTATGGTAAGAAATACTGTCAAAAGGAAATTATAGACTGGAATCCTCTCTGCTTAGTACTGTTTTCTGATCAACTCATAGGGACATTTTGTTTCAGGAAATGGCTAGTTATTGGTGAGTAAACATAAGAGTTAAGAGTTCGGAGGAGCCAAAGATTGCCATCTTTCTGTAGAAGCAGAAGTGAAACTTGCTGCTGCTTCAAGCCCTTTTTGTTTTGACTCTGCATTTGTTAACCATTTAAATACATCAACTTGGTAAGTCCAGTCTACACAGGCCTTCCAGGAAATACAGCGACTTGCACTCCGAGGCATCTGAGTTTTCTTATTTCAGATTTTCAAAAACTGATTAACCAATACAATGTGCCTGGAGAAGATATACTTACTCACATAGCTTGAATGGGCTTAGTCGCAGTCAGCATTGAATTAACCACAACTGTCACATTTGGAGGTAGAGCAAGGAACTAAACCATTTTTTATCCTTCTCAAAGAGTCTGTCTTCCTGAAGTTTGATATTGTCATGAGATGCAAGCTGTAATGAACATTGGGTAATGTTCCAATAGCCTTGCAAGACAAGTTATGCAACCCTGCTTGTAATTGCACTCCTGAGGAAACCTTGTTATGTCTGTGATTTCAAATGTGTCCCTGCCATTATGGAAGTATCATTCCTGTGTAATTTGCTTATATTGACACGCGTAAAGTATCACTACCCCTTTTTTGCGTGTCCGCTGGTTATATTGGCTTCTGGGATGCATATTACCCTTAACAAGAGGTATTTAGAAGCTTATGAAAGGCTTTTCATAGGTATTTGTCCTAAGGAATCTATTTTGTAGGAGAAATTTTATATTGTGGGATGTGAAGAGGCGTGTAAAATGAGGTTGGTGTTCAGGAATCACTTCTGTATATTTGCGGAAAGGTGTGAATGTGAATGGCTTTTCTGTAGTGTGTGTGTGGTGGGGGTGGGGGGGTGGGTGTGGGGGAGAATCAATCCCAGAGAATTTAATAACTAGAAGGTGTCAGGCTGGATCAGTTGGTAGCACTCTCTCGCCTCTGAGTCAAGACTCTGAGCTCATAGGGCAGGTTGGCATTCCAGTGCAGTACTGGGGGAAGCGCTGCATTGTCAGAGCTGCTGTACTTCAGATGAGATGTAGAATTGATGCAGATGAGATCCATTTGCTCGTTTAGGCAGACTTTAAAGATCCCATGGCACTATTTGAAAAGAGAAGGGAGTTTCTCCCGATGTCCTGACCTCAGCATTCCCCCCCACCCCCCTCCCAATCCCAAATTAAATTGGTCAAACACTCTATGACTAATTGTGGGACATTGCTGTGCTCAAATTGAATGCTGCATTCGCCTATAAATACAGTCACTACAATCTACAGTGCTTTCTCCATTCTCCACAAGCCACGCAGGAGGGTGAATGGAAGCCAGTGTCACCATGGCTCACTGGACTTTTTGTCTGTCCATTTTTTTATTGAAGATTGGTTTTCCCCAAAACTTTCCTAGACAAAATACCCACTCCACTCACTATTAGTGCAGTCCTGTAACTTAGTGGTTGGAGCACTGTTCTTGGAGCACAAGCGAGAGACCTGGGTTAGATTCCTGGCAGGGCGAAACATTGGGCAAGTTTCCTCACTCAACACACCTCTGCTAACCTAGCAGTAAGTAAGAACTTGGTTGTTAGTCGATTGGCGGATCACTTTTCTGGGGGTAATAATTTCCTTCAAAAAAATAACAATAAATTGGTCACTTCAATCCATAACTGTTTGTGGGACACTGCTGTGTGCAGTTTACTGCCTCGTTTCACCCACAAAAAAATGATACAGTCAATTCACTTTCCAGTACATTCTGTGAAGCAACTTGAGATGTCTGGAAGACGTGATAAGGCGCTATACAAATGCAAGGATTATTATTATTAAATGCTGCTTAGGATTGCAACAGTATCATCATTTGGGTTAAAGTTCATGAAATAGCCTTTGCACCCTAAACATTTTAGTGTATGTGTCATATGCATTACCTGTGTGTAATATACATTACATTATGCATTCAACAGCAACTTGCATTTTTATAACACCCTTCATGCAAGGTATTGTCTTGGAGTGTTTAAAATCTGTATTATCTGTGTATAATATACAATTTATATACATATAGTATATATGTTTAATATATATATAACTTGTATAGTATACACAGATAATGCAAGTTTATATATATGTGTGTATATTATATATATTATCTATAAATCTGTGTGTAAAATACATTATATATTACTATGTAGTATGTTTAACCCTTTTCAATTTTCAGCAACTATCCAAACACTGATAACATAAAATGTTCACCAGAACAAAGGCCTAAAAGGCAACATTTTTCCAATCTCACTTTGTGTTGTAGCCTCTTAGGTTGGAACATTGTGCTGTTCTTGGGATTCCCTTCAGCTTTGAAGATGCCAATCAGGGCAGGGTTGGGTGGCAGGGGGGAGATGAGGGGTGAAAATCTCACCATTGATCTCTCACTTATTTTGAATGTTTTGACAGGAAACAACCCATTCTTGGCCTCTTCCTCTGACTGGAATTGACTTATTTTGAATGTTTTGACAGGAAATGACCCATTCTTGGCCTCCTCCTCTGACTGCCATACACACGCCGAGTACAGCCGAACCCTCCAAATTCCCTTTCCCGACCAAGGTAAATAAGAGTTCTATACCCTAGATAATGCACAACTAACTAACCAGGACTGTGCAGTTATTTTGAAACCAGTTTCTATGTTTTACTTGGAGTGAGGGTGGGTGGTTCACCAATTAATTTAAACTATTTTTTCAAGAAATTCAAGCTCAATGACTTCAAACGTTAAAATTTATCTTCTTTTGTAACTTGCAGGATATCCAGCAGGTCCCTTCTGGCTTTGTCGGGCACAGTAAGTAACAGCTGAAATCTGACAATCTTCATTTATGTAGCCTACCATTGGTCTGACTGGATAGGGTGGGCGACCTGAGAGCAAAGGGAAGCCATCAACCTTTGTTTGACTAAGATGGGTGTACCGCCCACTGTAAAGCACTATAAAACGTTATCCTACTAAAGGGTTTTTTGACAGCCTGGAGGTGCTGTCATCACTGTGCTGCAAACCCACCTAGCTCAGGAACTCGACAACCAAGCCCCCCATAGAGGGTGAGCTCGAGTCTGACATTCTGTTGCCAAACATGTCACCTTGGAGCCAGTTCTCCCCACCCCCCCCCTCCACCCCCCAGGAGGATAGACATCTGACAAGTGCGGTTTTGAGCCCTCACTAGGTGGATGATAGGTACCTGGTGAGCAACATAGCTCAGCATGAAATGCGTGAGACGATTGCCACCAGCTTCCTGTCCGCAGCTCAGACACGCGTCCCTTCCCATTGAGCGATGGTTCCACCAGTTGGAGGTGCAGGGCTTAAACAGCAGTTGCTTACCTCTTTGCAAGCCAATCAGGGTGGATTCCTGGCACTGGATGTATGAACACGTATTCACAAACTGAGAAACTCAGACTCCCAGTTAACACTTTCCAGCAGCTGCTCCCAAGCTATATAAATGCAAGTTGGTATTGAAATTAGAATTGTTTGGGATTCTGATCAATCTACAGATAGTCTAATTGTCTAATAAGTTTGAAATAACACCTCTCTTTTACACTGAGCATTGTAAACATTGTGCTTGTTTATAATAAACAGTGAAGAAATTTTAACTATACTAATTTGTTCATTTTTAATTTATTCCTTTGCAGAGAAATGTGAGACTCTTCCTAAAACATCAAGTTCTCAAGCTGCAAACACGTGAGTATTATTCTAAATAAAATTCCACCGCAGACATTATTTTTAACCATTGAAATTAGGTTCTGCTGCAATTACTTTTCTTCCAATGAGGCCAAGTGAGGAATAGGAATATAGGAAAGCAGGAAGAGACCATTTAAACAACATCTTAATTGAGGGATCCAGAATTTCACCTGGGGTTGGAGTGGGGAGCTCTGACCTGCACCATTTAATTCAAAAGCGAAATGTTAAAACAGTGTTCTTAAAACAAATGGGAAATATGTTAAAACCCAAGAGTGAGATGTTAAAATAAGAACTATTTCAAGTCTAAAAATATTAAAAAGTATATTAACATATTCACAAAGTATTTACTGAATATGTTCACAACAGGTTCAGAATAAGGAGAAATATAGCGTACGTGGTGTTTTCTATAAGTTTAATAAATTTATTTACAACGTGATTAACATCTATATTCATACATATTTTGCCCATAAAATACAGTCATTATTATTGTTATTATTTCACATACATTTGAATGCCTCACTCTCTGTAATGATGCCTGTGGCCCCATTTCTGGCATCATTAAAAGCAGCAGCAATTTGTGTTTTAATGGAGTTAACGGGATTATCATTAGAATGAGAATGTGGGATGGGATGGTCCAATGGGAGTATGTACTCACTGCAGTCGGAAAGAGTTGTGTTTTCCAGGGAATGATTTTCTTACAGCCTTAGATAGAACACCCCTGCTTGGGGGGAGGGGGAGTGGTGTCGCTCTTTCGGGCCCCACCTCCCTCCCCGATCTGCCCCTAATCTTAATTCTGTGATGGGGAGGACAGTAGGGTAGGTGTTCTGGAAGATTGGATGGGCCAAAGGGCCTTCTTTTCTCCAAACCAATCTTGTATTGATCATTCATCACATTCAAGCTGTTCTATCAATGTATTAGACTTTGGCAGATTTGTAATCCAAATACTTATAACCTAAGTATCTGCCCATCTTTCTTTAAAGATCCTTATGCACTGTTATAAACTGCCTGGTTAGGTGACAAGCTTATCTAATACTTTGGCGACTAATCTTGAGCCATCGATGCCAATTATAAATACCTAAAATGCTGTCTCATCATTAACTAATTCAGCACAGAATTTGAACCTGCAACCATGTGCCTCTTTAACATAGTAGTAATAATAATAATCATCCTTGCATTTTATATAGTGCCTTATCACATAATCATGAGTGTCAAAGCGCTTAACAGGATATACTGTAAATTTCTGGTATGACTGTATATTTTCACAGGAAACGGGGCAGCCAAGTTGCGCATAGCAATGTCCTATAAACAGCCATGGAGTGAATGACCAACTTTTTATTTGGGGGAATTGTTGGCCAGGACACTGGGATAAATTCCCTTCTCTTTTTGACGATTGCCATGGGATCTTTAACATCCACGTAGACAGGCCAACAGGACTTTAGTTTAACATTTCATCAGAAGGACAGCACTTCAGACATTGTAGCAGACCCACAACACTGCATTAGAGTGCCAACTTAGACTATATGGGTTCCAGGTCCTGACATGGAACTTGAACCCACAACCTTCTAACCCAGAGGCAAGATGCTACCAATTGAGCCAGGCTGACACAATCTACTACTATAATAACACAGTAAATTTATGACTAGGCCACCAGGGGAATATGGGATATTGGGATTCTTTGCATCATTTCATGTCAAGACGACATCTCAAATGTCTTTGCATGATTTACTGTAAAGTGTAATAACTATTTTGTAGTTGAACGCAGCAGCCAATTTGCGCACAGCAGTGTCCCAAACAGTCATAAAAGTGAATGATAATTGTGTATCTGGAATAGTNAAAAAAAAGGATGTTAGAATCGTCCATCCTCTGCAATGGTTTCAGGAATCCAAAGTATTCCAGGACAGTAAAGGTGACAGTCCAGCCAGTCTGGCTCAACAACAGGACTTGGAAGAGCAAACACACAGTCACTGGGTGAAGTGAGTTTTCCCAGTTAAGTCCTGCTAAACCTGAAAACTAAAGCATAATTAGTAAGGTGGACATGACTGGACAAGCAATGCTTGACAGCCAGTGCTTTCTATGGCAAACTATGTGGTGTTAGCTGATTAAACTCCAGCAGTAACCCATCGCACACTCTGGGGTCCCCAAGCCTTGGTTCTTGCCAACCTGCACTTAATACTCTCCGGAAATTAGTAAGCAGGATACGTCCTCCAGTGAGAGAGTGCACATTCCATTCCATAGACAGGCAAATTTCCACGTATTCCAGAATCCTGACTGTATTCAGGAATTTGTGTCGAGAAAATTGACCAACTTGAATAAGCCTAATGGTTAACACACTGTAGAGATTGGTTTATGTTGCAAGTTGTGGTGGCAAAGGTCAGAAACATTGTTCATGTACAGGAAGTGACACTGCAGGGATATTTATTGCTGGGCAGCTGCAATGTAAATAAGGTGATAACGCTCCCCCAGAGGTACTCCATATCACGCTCAAAGGGGTGTTTCCTGTTTGCTTCAAGAGGAAGCAAAGTAAACACCACCTTCAGCCAATATAATCTGGCCTGGGGAAGTCGAGGGGTATGCTTCTCGTTCCACAACACACAAAGCCAGTAGCCAAAAACTGAATGCACAGTTTGTGACTTTGGCAATGGTTGTTTACACACCCACAGTTGTGGTGTTATTACCAGTTCTTGCTGTGGGTTCTGGAAAGCAGTGTAAACAGGGTGAATCCACAGCACTATCCAATACCATGGAGCAGCTCCTGTTTGAAACATGAATGTGACATATGTACATGTAAATCACTGCAGTAAATTTCAAACTAAACGGATTTATCAAACCTAGACTGGTACTGAATTAAAATGATCAGTTTGCCTTCTCCCCTTAGGGCTTGTGCTGTCAGCAACAGCATTTCAATGTAGGTGATGTGGTGTTGTTATTTTAAGAACTATTGAGACATGTGTTGAGCTGGGTCTTTACCCCTCCACTGGATCTCCCTTCCCACCTGTGGCAGGTACGATGCCTGCAAAGTTGCTCCCAGCATTGGATTGGGTTAACTGTTCAGCATCATGCATTGTTGCTGTATTTTGTCCTGTTTGCAATGCTGGGGGCCCCTGAGACCTGAGCCGTTGCCCCTCACCACACACTGTGAACCTGCACAAAGCCTCCTCAGAGACCTGGGAAGCTCCACAGCCAGAAACAAGTTCATGGCTCGGAGCAGCTGCAGGTTCAAACCCACGCCTGCGCAGTTGTTTGTGTTTCCTGGGCTTTGGATTACATCCTGTGGTATAAGCGTGTCCGGATCCTGGCACCAGCAACCTCGGCTCTGAATTATCCTACAAGCTAAATGCAGCGATCATGGACCACGTAGAGTCAACCATCTGGCTGGGCGAAACAAAGTGGCTTGTGATGGTGTATTCCCTCAAGATCACCTGATCCTCCTCACCTATGTTCCTTTGTTAGTCAGTCAGTGCAGGTGTTTTGTGGTTTGCCAGCAATAAGGGCATTAAAAGGATGAGCGATGATTTCTCCCCCCTTTTCCCCAGCACTTTATCAATACAGGTAATCAATTAGGCTGGTTTCACAATCGCTAACTTTACAATTGCCAATTTTTCCCTCCATTTATCATAGAAGATCGTTGCATAATTAATGAATCTTGTTTTGTCAAAATCTTTCATTAGGGAATGGTGTTAGCTGTTTTTTAGGAGAAGCTGGGAAATGATTAGAGTCGTGTCTGTGACATTGGTAATTGCACTACAAGGAGGTCTATTTTTGTCCATGTATGTTGTTAGCTCACAGCTGGTTTGGCTGGTTTTGTATAGTTTTTAAATCCTCTTACTATCTTTATTACAAAGCTCTGAAATTGTAATCCTGAAATGTGACATTATTTAATGTATACTGCAGAGAATTAGAAAAGGAGCTCCTTTGCTTGTCTTCTATATGTAAAGTGCTTTCAATATACAATAGTTACAGGTTACTGTATTTTGTGTTCATGAGAAATAGTGAACTCTTTGGCTCGCTTTGATTTTTCCATTAAGTTGTTGGGACCCACACTGATAGGAAGAGTCGTACACCCAGCTTCAGGCTTGCCCTAAAAATTGGTCAACTTTCAGGTCGTCAGGTCACCACTGACCTCACTTCCTGTAAGTTGTGTGCATCGCGAACAGCAGTTCCTGCCCAGGAAGTGGCTTGAGCAACCACCTGATGACCTGAACAACAACAACTTGGATTTATATAGCGCCCTCCACGCCGGACAGCGTCTCAGAGCGCTTTACAGTAATGGATCCCGGGGCCGTGCCAGGGGGAGGAAGGTGACCAAAGGCACAGTCAAAAAGAAAGGTCTTCAGCAGAGACCTGAAAATGGGAAGGGAGGGAGCGAGACGAAGGGAGTGAGGAACAACATGGAAGTAGGGCTTATTTTGTGCGCGTGCCTCACAGATATTGGACCCAGCCTATGAGCTTTTTCTGTACCTTCATTTTTTTAGTTGTACACATCATTTTAAGAAAACAATTTGACAATCTTTTGACCAAAGTTGTTCAATGGCCGACTTGATACTTATTGTATATATCTTTAATATTCAGGACACTTGAGGATGACCTGCAGCTCAGCAGTAGTGACGACAGTGATGGAGACCAGGTAGGCCTTTTATCTCTACAGAATATAGATCTATGGAGCTTTTTAGCTAGAATAAATATGGTGGGTGAGCTGCTTTAAGAAGTATGCACAATATAATGACTGAGTGATCTGATCCTTTTTCTCTTCTCCCTACTCTCTGCTTAAATAGGTCCTGGAAAAAACAGAACCCATGTCTGATTCTAAGAGGTAATTAATTTCCTGCTCATAAATATCTGTGCCTCATAATTTGGAATTATTTGTGTGTGGATGATTTTTCTAATGTAACAGCCTCTAGGACAGTGAGGGGAAGACACAGCTTTTGTGGGGTGCCTGCTAATTGGTGTTGATATTCATCTCCATCAGAATATGTCTGAAACCAATGTTTAAATTGGAGGGTTTTGTCCCATTGTAGCATCATTATTCTGCATTGCATTTCCTAATAGAAAGATCCATTAAATACAAGTATCTGAATTAGTGCCCTTTAGACTTGTAACCTGTAGAGTGTTTAAGACATTGGTACATTGTTTAAACCATCTGGGGCAGGCAGTAAATCAATAGGAGAGGTCACCACATTGTTTACCTCAACTTCTCTCCTGTAGGCATTTTTTACTCCTTTCTACTAGACTGCTGGAAGCCTCGCCCATACAGCTATTATTCCTGTGACATCAAGCTGATCCTTGTCTTCAACAAACAAGAAGGCATGCTCCCCTCCAATCCCTGGGTAGCAAATAGCTGGATTTTCTAACTCCATAACCTGAGCCAGTGAGGCAATTTGTAGCTTTCCGTGGGGTTGCCCATGATTAAAAGTGGAGTCAATACTCTTCACCGATTGAAACTGGGATTTTTCTCGATCTGTATGGCTCGGCTTCACGTTCAAGAAAATTGTTGAGCCATGGGATGAGATGGTCTATAGTTGATCAATAGTTTTATCTTCTATTTGTTGAAGACCAACAAAAAAGTGTTGGGCAGAATTTGTTTCCCCTAAATAATAATAATAGACCTTGCATTTGATATAGTGCCTTATCATGTCTTTGAGACGTTTCAAAGCGCTTCACAGAATATACTGTAAAGTGAATAGACTGTATATTTTGTGGGTGAAACATAAGTACCAAGCAAAACTGCAACATTTCACTAAAATAAGTCACTAGTATTTTGTGTGATCCCATAGATCGGCAGTGTAAAGCTGACACTGTGATGCTGTGAAAGCCTTAAACTCAGTAAATGTTCTTGCAACAGAAACGAGCATTTGTCCGGTCAAGTCTGTTCTAGTGTTTTCTCGCATGAGCCAGCTGTTCTAATCCCACTCTCCTGCCCTTTAATATTTCTCTTCTATAAGCACCCATCTAACCCCTCTTTACAATAATTGATGGACATGGCCTCAACAGTATTCTGTTTGTTTATTGCTGCAAATTCCACATTCCAACCATGCCCATATTTTGTGACCTCTTCTTCCAAGCAGTTGTCACACACAGATGCAACATTTTTTGACCTGGATGAGATGTGCGAGATGTCACAGTTCACATAGTGTTAAAGTAGTGTTGAACTTGGCAAATGGAAAGCGAATGGCCTGGCTTTGTTCTCTCCTCTCTAATAGGAAAGTGTAAGATCTCGGTGGTGCATCTGGTAGTTCCAAATCTTAAAAAGGACTATATAAATAAAATAATTTAAATAATCTTATACCATTTTATCTCTTATACTCCTTCCTTGAATTCTTCACCAAATAGCTGTCTCGCTTAAATTTGCTGTCACCAAATAGCTCTCCCCCTTGAATCTGCCTTCACTGATAATCCCTAAATAATCAATTTCATTTATTCATTAACCTCTGCGTAAAATTCAACCCTTTTCTCGCTCTCTGCTTCATGGGCATTAGCCTGCTCCATGTACCATGCCCTGCTCACTCCACCATTGGATGTTGGGTCTTCAACCTTTGTGTCCATACCCTCTGGAACTCCCATCATAGAGCCCCTCTGCCACACCCTCTCGCTTGCCTCCTTCAAGGCCTATCTCAAGACCTTCCTCTTTGACCATGTTTTTGGTCATCCTCCCTTGCCCTTCACGTATCTTGACTCCAGCCCCCACCTCAGGTGCAAAGCCTTCACTGGGCTTTGCACCTGAGGTGGGGGCTGGAAAGACACTGTTCAGCACCTTGGGATGTCCCCCCGATTTGAAAGACACTATATAAATGCAATGCAATTTTTGTTGTTGTTCCCTTCTGAGCTTGAGCTCATGTTCCCTTGTTCTAAAAAAAATCTTTTAATGTTGTGTTACTGAAACATACATTCAAAGAAGGTCCCAGCCTTGACCCTTGGTCTCTGCTGAGTTGGCTGGTCTCACCCAGGCAGTAGGATGGCTTTGCAATGGACTTCAGTGTCTCCAGGTTAAGGAGGAGGAGAAATCAGCCTCATATCTATCTAGTGATCATTAATTTGAAAAGTGTCCATTGTTCAGTGTTAGATTAGAGCCGGATCAGGCTGGGTTGTGAATTCACTTCTTTCTACACATACAACCACCCACACAACTGCAGTGCCTACATTTTAGACTTGCAGACATGGTGAGGTGTGTGTATATAGATCTGCTATCATCTGTGGGACCCTATTGTCCTCGCTCACTGCCTTCAGGAGCAAAGAGAAGCAAAAGCCAGCTGGTGCAGAATAATAATAATAATAATAATCCTTGCATTTGATATAGCGCTTTTCACGTCGGGAGGACGTCATGACATGGATGCTGAAGAAAAAATGGCATTTTGTTTGCTATTTTTTTCTTTCCCTTTCCTGCATTGCTCTTCTGGTTGTACTCATTCTTGCTGGTTATTTTTCCACAGTCACTGACAATCTTCCAGTGCTTTGTCAAGTCATCAACCATCATTTAGCATATGCAAGTCTACACACTGGATAACCTATCAGGCAGGATTTTCAACTGGGCATTCCTGTTAACCCTAACTTCCACACGCTTATTTTCCATTAGGAAGAGTCACTGGAATATGCCCACAAAATATACAGTCAATTCACTTTACCGTATATTCTGCAAAGCGCATTGAGACGTCCCCACGCACACACACACACCTTTGCCCATCCCCATTTGCAAGACTACTTTTAACACCTATCTCTGTGTAGACCAGGTTTTGACCCTGCAGTGTTCTGGTCTGCAGGGCTCCAGACCATCCTTTTACCTATTGAGCCATAGGGGGGAGCCCGAGGCTACATCTTCTAACCGCTGATTTTTTTTTTGTGTGTCGCAGTGCTTCCTCTCTCTCCCAGAATAACTGCGTGCTGTCGAAACATTCCAGCGTAGGCTTAAACAACTTGAGTGAATCAGATAGTTCTTCGGGCTCAGATTCCGAGAGTGAAAGCAGCTCCAGTGAAGGTGAAGGGAACGAAACGTCACGGACCACTTCCCCTGAGGTAAGGGGTGCACTGCAAAAGAGCGCTTGACCTCTGAGTGTGCAATAGTGTCTATCTGTAAACAATCACCCTGAGACATTAAACACTGCAAAAACTTTTTTTAACAACTTTGTGCACTTCTGCAGTTATAATATCAGATATTAAGAATCCAAGTGTTCCTACTTCCCTTTTGTTCGCTATGGGCAGATAGATTCAGGCAAGAAAAGGTAGCACCTTCATCTACAGAATGTGTGGTTTCATTTGACATTGAGTTTTGAGAATCTTACCTTCTGAGGTTGGGGGAAAGGCAGGTGAGGGTCATGTTCAAAAAAACTTTCTAATTTGAAATTGCGCAATACTTTAAAATCCAGCTGAAAGATGAACTTTAAAGAATTACATCTAAATTGAGTGATTTCAAAACGTACCCTATATTTTTAACATAATGTAGATTAATTTTCACATGTGTAATAATAAAAAAAACAATTTTAGAATTGATTTCATCAAGAAATCATTAGGAGTTTTGCCACCACAGCTTCACTTTCAGCACTACTTTGTTTCCAGTTGGTGAAATGAATCCTAAAGTGCATCTGATGCCCTCAACCATTTAAAACGCAAGTTATTTATAGAGGCAAACTATAAATAAATGGATGCCTGCTCCTATAGATAAGGCATTAATCCTCAAATTTCTTTCCCTTTGTTTATCTTGCTTTTTCTCGTTTTTTGTGTATGGGTATGCAATTTTGTTGAACACCTTTCCTTCTATTCCATTTTCTTCAGAGGTGATTCCCGACTGTTGATTTCAAATTTGCAGATCTTGCCCATTTTGAGCTTAAATGAAACTTAAAATGAGATGTGGTTTCCCTCTCTCTCTCAATCTCTCTCTCTCTCTCGCCCTCTTTCTATTGAAATCTAAAATCTACTGAAGATAGGCAAATGCCTCTTGGTTCTGTTTCACTATGACCAGTAGATAACGCACAGCAGATAATGCAACAAAACTTCCTGATAAACTGGGCAGAACACACTGCAAGTGCATGATATTTATTGTGAAATAGACACTGCGAGAAGTACTTCCTTGAGCTTCATTTGAATTGAGGGTTGCTGTGAAAATTGATCATCTCCATAGAGATGGAATAGTGAATTATATAAATATCGTGGAGTCCTGTAGCATATTGGTTAGAGCATTCGCGTCGCAAGCGAGAGGACCTGGGTTTGACTCCCCGGCAGGGTGAAAATTTGAGCAAGTTTCCTTACTCCACATGCCTCTGTTTACCTAACAGTAAGTAGGAACCGGTGTTAGTCGATTGGCAGATCATTTTTCTGGGGGTAATATTCCATGACTATTGTGCAAAATTGGCTACTGGGTTTCACCAAAAGGATATACAGTAAATTCACTTTATAGTATATTCTGTGAAGTGCTTTGAGACGTTTCGAAGACATGGTAAGACGCTATATCAAATGCAAGGATTATTATTATATATTATAATTTTAAAATGATACTAGAAAATTTAAGACGTTGAAGGTTTCAGTCTGTATGGATATTATGCATCAAATGTCATAGCTGCTTTTGCTTCATTTCTTGCAGCCTGATCCTCCACCAGCAAACAAGTGGCAACTTGATAACTGGCTGAACAAGGTGAACCAGCCAACTGCACCTTCAGAGAACCACAGTGAATTGTTGGATAGCCACAGTTCCCAGGACAGCCAGAGATCTGAGACTAAGGAGAATTGTGAGTACATTGGTTCCAGCAGAGAGCCAAGGACTATACAGGAGGCTTCTCGTGACACAAGTAACTGGCACACATCAACCCCCAGTAACAGTGGGGTTCAACGACAGACTGTGGCTAAAAAGCAGCCCAAGAAGCCTGGTAAGACAGTTGCATTTGACGAAAATGGAGGAGACCTGAGAGCTGAGGCTGCACCTTGCACGTACGGTGGTAAAGACCAGTCTTCCACAGAACAGCACAAAGTAAAACTAAAAGAGGGGCAGAAGTCCAGTGGAAAAAAGGAGTCAAAGTCTTTGGCCAGGATTTCGTCTGAAAGGATAAAGCACAAATGTCCAATTCAGACTGCTCCTAAATCCAGGGAATATGTCGATACGGATTCCTCTTGCACAGGCCTAGGTACAGATAAAGAAGAGCCACATCCATGTTCCAATCTGGCTCCTGCTGCCCCCGTCCCTCTGAGACAGGAACCCAGTGAAAATGGGACAAGCGTCAGTAAACCTGCCAGGGAGGTAAACAGGACTAACCTCCATAAATCTGCTGGTGTGGCTGGGAAGGTCACTGCACCTGCCAGTGAGGTCAAGGAACTAAATGGAATTTATCTCCACAAACCAGCCAGCAAAGTCAAAGAAGTCACACGGATCAACGTTAGTAAACCAGCCATTGAAGCGAAGGAGGCAATTCCGACTAACCTTAATAAACTTGCCACTGACGTCAAGATAGGAAACCGAACGAGCAGCAGTAAAGCTACCGCCAGTGAGGTTGGGAAGGGAAACCGATCTAGGTCAAATAAATCTGTTTGTGAGGTGAAGGACAACCTTCTGGGTGGGCCGATTTTTCCTACTGTGGGAGATGGGAAATTGCTGTCCCCAATAAGAGACCATGAGGTTCCCTGGCCTTTGGTGGTCAAAATTGACTTGAGTTTACTTTCGAGGATCCCATCATTGCCTGGTAAAGCGAGCCATCAGTCCAAGAACAGCACTATGGAATGTACTGCACAGAAGAGTCGGGAAGGAGTGAAGGGAAGCACAGAGAAGTCATCCAGCAAGGCCAAGAGAAAGCACAAGGTGAGTTCGATATGAGACCTGCAGACCTTTCATTCCCTCTGCTGCGCTCTGTGAGGCTATCCTGCATGTAGGCTGCTATATAAATCACTAATTTGAAAAGTGTCCATTGTTCGGTGTTAGATTATAAAGGAGATTATCCCAGTGTCCTGGTCAACAGTCCACCTTTTAAATTGGACATTTACCTCATGGCCTGCTTTGGGACCACGATATGTGCAAAATGAATGCTACATTGCCTGCACAAACCAGTACCAACAAATTTTACAGGCTTCACTGTGAGGCTTTCTGATGTGTTAAGGTGTTATAAAATGCAAGTTTATCACTTACACAGTATACTTGTGGAAACTCTAAATAGACTTATTTGTTACCCTTCCATGAGGGGATTTTGCTAAGAATCCTGGCAAAGGGCTAATTCTTTATTTACCCACTGAATTTTAGCTGGCGATTTATTATCCTTGTTTTATGATTTATGGTCATTATAGTGTACATTTCAGGTTTTATTCGGTTGGGCTCCTCCAGTGACAAAATGTGTACAGCCATCTTCTGGCACTCCATTAGGACATACAGATTAGAAGGTTGTCAATTTGAATTTTACTAATTTAATTAATCTCAGCATATAGGGCACTACAATGGCAGCAGTGGCCCTGGGTTAAGGAGGTTGTCAGCCTCCAAAGACCTCTTACATATGCATGTGTGTGGCCTCAGGTGAGGTCAAGATCAGGCTTGGCTTGGTTGTTGTTCCTCTCTTCCCCCCCCCCCCCCCCCCCCCCCACACACACATTATTAACAGGACTTGCATATCATTAATAAACAACTAAAAAAACTTTACATTTGGCAAAGCACCTTTCATATCGGGAGGATGTCCCAAAGCGCTTAACAGGATTTACTGTGCAATGTAGGTGGACGGGTCATCCAAAAAATGTCCCACAAACAGCTATGCAACGAATGACCAATTTTATTTGGGGGATTATTTGGAGTCTTGTAGCTCAGTGGTTAGAGCGCTCGCCTCACAAGCAAGAGACCTGGGTTTGATTCCTGGCAGGGCAAAACCTTGGGCAAGTTTCCTTACTCCACACGCCTGATAATAATCCCTCAAAAAAATAATAAATTGTTCACTTCAAACCAAGATTGTTTGTGAGACACTGCTGTGCGCAATTGGCTCCTGTGTTTCTCCCACAAATATACAGTCAATTCACTTTACAGTATATTCTGTGAAGTGCTTTGAGACATCTAGAAGATATGAAAAGCACTATATCAAATGCAAGAATTATTATTATTATAGGACACCAGTACCTGTGGTTTTAAATGGAGAAAGTCCAGAAAAATCTGTTAATACATAATGTAATTTTTTTATATATATATATAATGAAAAGTAGCCATTTGGCCCATCATGTTGTCCTGTTCGTGGCTTCCCCAACACTCTAATCCCATTACCCTACTGTTTCCTCAACTTAAATATTATTTTTCCACAAGTATTCATGAAATCCAATGCAGTGCTAGGGATGTGCTGCATTGTTAAGTGAAACATTAAACTAAGGTCCCTTACTCCATACGCCTCTGTTTACTTATGGCAGTAAGTAGGAACTCAGTTGTTAGTTGATTGGCAAATACCTTTTTTGGGGGAAATAATTCCTTCAAAAAATAATAATAATTATAATAATTTGGTCACTCAATCCACAATTGTTTGTGGGCAATTGCCTGCCGGGCGCAATTGGCTGCCGTGTTCCGCCCACAAAATATAGTCAATTCACCTTACAGAATATTCTTTGAGACGTCTCGAAGACGTGATAAGGCGCTATATTCAAATGCAATGTAAGGATTATTATTCAAACTGGCGCCCTTCTGGTCTGTATGTCCTAATGAAGTGCCAAATGATGGCTGTATCTATTAGGTCACTGGAGTAGTAAAACCCGAAATATACACCACAGTGGCCATAAATCAGAACAAGATCAAAGATCCCATGGCACTATTCAAAAAGAGAAGTTTATCCCGGTACTTGGCCAACCATCCCCCTACTAAAATTGATCACTTACTCCATGGCTGTTAGGGACATTGACGTATGCAAACTGACTGCCACATTCACCCACAAAATGCACACAGTCACACCACTTTACAGTAATTGCTTTTGAAATGCTCTTGAACAATGCTTCACTGTACATGATACAGTTGATTGGCCAGCAGTTACAGCTTCAAATGTTTTAAATGGAGAAAGTCCAGGAAAATTTCTTACTTTTAATATGCATTGTAAATTATATATTATATCTAATATATCATATATATAATATATATTTGGTGTATATATATATATATAATAGCTATAATGAAAGGTAGCCGTTTGGCTCATCGTGTCTGTGCTGGTCCTGGCTTCCCATCGCTCAAATCCCATTTTCTGCTCTTTCCTCGTCCACTTCAGCATTGTTTTTCCACAAGTATTTATGAAATTCATTTTTAAATGCTGTTATGACCATTGTGGTAAGACATTCCGTATTTTTAAGAACATAGGAATGTTCATGACTGAAAAAGATCATTCGGTTCATCTGGCCAATCCTACAGTCAAACAATTTTTTTTAATCCTACGTTTCTGCGTTCAATTATTCAATTATTCCTTTACCAAATAGCTATGCAATTCCCTCCTGAATTTCCTGACATGATTTAATTCCACCGCCTCCCTGGTCAATCTAGTCCAGATATTCACCACAACCTTGTAAACTATTTAAATCTTGAACTCTGTTCACCTTCCCGCTGAGCTAGAGTTTGTATCCTCTTGTTCTCGATCGTTTTGATCATGTTAAACATGTTACATACAGTATCAGGGTTCATCTGTGCCTTGTGGGTGGGTGCATGTATGTGTGTAAAAAAAATTCTGCTCCTCCCCTTTAAGACCTGAAGGTTTCTTCACTGCTCAGCTGTTTGCTGCCATTCATACACTTCGGCAGTGTCGCTGCTTTGATTGACTGACCAGAGTGAGGCAGAGAGTTAGTGGGGACAGAAGGGGGAATAGAAAGGAAGTGAACAAGAAATTGAAGCATGAAGGTGTCAGTTTTCTCTTCTCAGCGGCATTCCATTATTACTATGTGTTTCAATATCCAGCAGTCCTGGAGAGAAGTAACCAAACTTGCCAAGCCCTGAGACATCAGGCTTGGGATTCCGTTTGGCATTGATTTGCGAGCTTGACCATTTAAGCTACCGTGCCGCTTCAGGTTTAAAGTGTTTTTTTTTCAGGTCTCGTAGTATTTGTACTGTTCTTCAGGGGGAAAATTCTACCAGAAACGTTGCTCGGCCTTCTGCATATTGTTGACTTTGCTGTTGTGTCAATGCTTTATTAATTTTGTATTTTTCAAAAACATTTTGTTTAGATCGACGGGGAAGAGTGCAGCGAGGGCAAAAAGCAACGACTGGACAAAGAAAACAAGTTGTGCTCTTCAGGCTCCAAGGAACCCAGTAACAAGCGGTGTGTATCTGGTGTCCTGATCTCCCGAATTAGCCAGAGAGATTTAATGCAGCACAGTTGCGCGGCGCTGATCGGACACCTGTTAAAGTTGCTCTTTATGATTTATTGCTTGTTGCTAAGAGTTGCCCTTCATGTGTTCATGCTTGAACTGTTTAACAGGTTAGCAAGTCCATAACAAGCAGTTCAGTGGAAGGAAATGTCAGCACTGTGGATGTCAATGGACTTAGATTAAGCTTTTTAAATCCAGCATGATGTTTAAAAAAAATTTAAATGCAGAGTTGGTTGGTAGGATATGGAACATGTTAATCTGAGTCAGTTACCATATCTAAAAGGAAATTACATAGCTACTTGAAGAAGGAAGGTGTAGAAGGTTTGCAGGGAATAGAGAAGCGATAAGAGTAAGTCACTCCAGGGTAGAATTGGCACAGGCACAATGGGCCAAATCAATACCTGTGCTGACATGGATGTTATCCTCTTTCATACTAGATTTCTGATGCATACTAGATCCAACCTGTTACACTGGAAGGTTTTCTGTTGGCCAACCCAGGCTACAAATTAGGCTAATTCGATGCTTTAGGTGGCCTTTTCTGCAAGGATTGGTTGGTGCAAGTGGAAATGCTCTTTTACAAAGCTGTCAGCAAGGTGGCTGCTAATTTTATGGAACAAAACTAATTGAATTGACAAAGTAAGAGGGTTAAAGAATATGAAACCTGCCAGTAGATTGTGCCAGTTAGCCAAATCCACCTTACAAATGGATGATAATCAAGCCTTACTGTTGACCCTTTCTTGCAGAGTTTCGAACTCTTCCTCTGAGAAGGAAAAGAAACCATTTCTACCCCCACCTCCATCTCCTGTGCAAAAACCAGCAAAGGTTGCCCACAAGCGGCACAACAGTGGAAGTAGCACGTCCAGCCAGGTTTCTGCATCGAGTGCCAGTGACACCAAGATTAACAACAGCAAAAGTAACTCCTTGTCCAGATCATCTTCTTCCAAGCACAAAAGAATGGAGGATAAGCGCTCTGGACACTTGAAAACCAAGGTAAGAATACTTTGCTTCACATAAATGCAAATTCTCACGTGGGGTTTAAGATATACTTGGATGTATGAAGTTCAAAATATTTTTTTGGAATCCTCTTATTGAAATGATGCTTTTTTAAAAAAACAGTATTATTTTCAACATTAAAATGTAAATATATTTACCAATTTCCGTAGTTGTTACCATTTAATTGAAAGGGAAACGACAGCACATTAAGTACAAATTAAAATACTGCTGTATTGCAGCTGAATAGCAATCAGGTACAGAAACAATGGCTGAATTTCTCCCTCCCTTGTTTCTCTTCACTCGCCCCCCCACCGAACCTAAGCTTAGTGCTGTTTTAGTGCTACATAAATGCAAGTTGATGATGAACAAAACTTACTACTGTACTAAGTAGGATTTTTTGTCAGCCTGATGTCTGACACATATGGAAACCCATCAACATCCAAGAGTATCCAAGCTAGAATGAGTTCCACACTTGCATGCCACCTACATGGAATTTTCCCTGCAACGGAACGGACACCCTCTCCCTGAAGGAACATAGCGTGCTTACCTAATTCCAGAGCGTATTATGCGCAGGTTGATGAGAGCCAAGCCTTGGGACCGCAAAGTGAACGTTGGGAGTTCAACCTGCTAAAACCTAAATCATCCATCTAGGCCACCTGCCTGTTAGGGCTTCGGCTTGCATGGATAACCAGGAGCAGAGTGGGAAACATCTGTGTCCGCGTGACTGGTCTGGTACTGAGCCATCCATAGCAGGAAAGTCTGGGTTCGATCCCTGATGTGTGATCAGTTAATTCCTAGTCAGGACAGAGGTAAGCCCTACAATTCGTCTCTGTGTCTTAGAGAAGGAAGATCCAGTCAAATGTTCTATTTCTAAGTGATATCCACTTGCTATCCAGTGATATCTGATGGAAAGTGAAGTCCTGTATTGTATTGGTCAGAGCACTCACCTTGCATGTGAGAGGACCCTGGTTCGTTTTCCAAGCAGAGCAAAATCTTAGGCAAATTTCCTAACTCCACACACCTCTGTTTACCTAGCAATAAGTAGGAACCCGGTTGTTAGTTGATTGACAGATCACTTTTCCGGGGGTAATAATCAGTCCAAATAAAAATAATTTTAAAAATAATAACTTAGTCACTCAATCCACAGCTGTTTGTGGGACATTGCTGTGTTTCACCCACAAAATATATAGTCAATTCACTTTGCAGTATATTTTGTGAAGCGTTTTGAGAAATTTCAACAACGTGATAAGTCGCTATATCAAATGCAAGGATTATTATTATTTTTATAAAGTGGATGTCTTGTGAAGATGAGATTACTCTCTACTGTGATACTCGGGTGTCTTTTTGGCTCAGTTGGTAGCACCTTTGCCTCTGGATTGGAAGGTTCAAGTGCCATGTCAGGCTTGAGTTTCATAGTCTAGAATGGATTACAGGGTAGGTCCTGCTTTGTCATACGCTTCAGACAAAACATTAAACTAAGATGCCGTCTGCCTGTTCTGGAATCATCTCCAGTGCCCTACCCCCACCTCCCACGATAAATGGGCTCATTTTTTTAATGGCTATTTGTGGGACATATTGCTTGCAATTTTGATGCTGCAATCATGCAGTTGCTACACTAGACACTTGAGAAGCGCTTTGATGGTACGTTGAGACATGATCGATTCTGTATCCAATGCAAGTATTATTACAGAATTAAAATGAATGTTTGTGAAACGTTCTTATTGACAGGTATCTTCCCAGTGTAAAGCAAGCAATGCCCTTCCAGAACAAGCACTGCCGAATGGAAACTCTAAACCAGCAAGACCCATACTCAAGTTTGATGACAAGTAATTATTTTTACCTGTTTTGCTGTATAGCACTAAAATGCGGTATGTAACCTCTTCTGGCTACAACTTCATACTGACCTCTAACCCTTTTGTTCAGGCAATATCCAGTAGAGCACCACTTGCGGGAAGCCAAAAAAATAAAGCACAAAGCTGATGTCATGGTAAGTTACTGCTGGTGGCCCCATTATCAAAACTGTGGCTGAACACTGTATGAGCTTCAGCTCATTGTGTTTTTAATCCAATCGAAGAAGTTGCCAGTGATTTTAAACAATATTTGATTTAAGAGAAGTTGGGCCGAGAAAAGGCCAATAAGCTTGCCTCTTCCACAGGCCATGTGCGTCTGCCTTTTTTGTTGCAATCTCCTGAGGAATAAAGTTCTGCAGTTTCTCTCTGCCTCCACTGTTCAACTCTGGTTGTTTGCTTCCACAAAATATGTTTTCTTGGTCTCAGCAACATAGGACCATTCTTGTTCTGTGAACTCCACTATTTTCTCTGTCCATTTTATCTCAGTAACTTGATTAACGTGATTATCTCTGCCAGTGCTCTGTTAAGCACTCTGGGGCTCTACCATGTGTGAGGGGTTTATGCAAGTTGTTGTTGTTGTCCATCTTATCTCAGTAACTTAGCAAACCACATGATTATCTCTACCCACTGTAACTCTGTGTCTTTGTCTTACCCAGTTCTTTATATATAAAAGTTAATTAATTCATAGATTAACCGTTTTTGCTAGGGACCTGGTTTCATGCACCCATTACTTTAGCTCATTAAAATCAGTCCCTTATTTGAGAAGTAAAATGAAGACTTGGAAAGTAGGCTGGTCTTCAGGTTCATAGAGAGAATATGTCATGTGTACTGTATTCTGTGTTCCAATCCTGTGGTTAAAAACCTGAGTAGCCAGTAATGTAATTTAAATAAAATCTGAAATGTTGAGGTGAGCTCATGAAATTGGCTTTCTTATGCTGTAATTATAGTGCACTATTGAAGGCAAATCATCACTATTTTCACAGAGCAGTGTTCAGGCAATATCTAGTAGAGCACCACTGTGTTGAGTCGCAGTGAATTGCATTGCTCGCTCGTTCCCTAGCCCATCTTGAAAAGGTGGTTTCAGCAACAATTTGACTTGCACCATCACAATAACAACAACATTCATATAGTGCTTTTCACATAAAAGAAATGTTTCGAAATTAAGTGAATGTTGTTGGCAGGTAATTTCTCTATCTCATAAACCATGAGATAAGTGGGCAGTTAGCCTGAATTTTTTGCAGTGAATGAGGAAGGAATAAAAGCCAAGATAACAACATAAATCATTTCATTACACCATGATGCAAATCAATATTGGCTTCTCTCCTAGTGATCCCTTGCATGCTCTTGGGACGTTCCATTGGATAATTATTATGTTACCAATAAGCTGGTAGTACAGATTCAGAACTTGAAAATTGCTTGAAACAAATCTATTCAATGTTTTTCTGGCAAGCTTTCCCACTGCTTGTCCAGCGAGGACCACCTATCATTAAGGGCTTTGGCTTGCAGGAGCTGAGTGTGAAGAATCCCCACTGACTGGTCTGTATCTCCCAGTCCTATTGATGAGCCAGGCTGGCTAGTCTGTCATCAGTTATGTCCTTAAATACTCCACATTGCTGACATTGCCTGGAACTTCCATTAGGATAAATGCAGCTTCATCTCTAATTGCAGTTGAATATAAAATTGGGTGAATTTTATTTTCATTTTAAAGTGGGAAGAAGGAAATGTAAGCCAGCTATTCTCCATCAACTGAATGTGTAAATATTGAAGAAATCCTTTATCTGAATTGTAATTTTTGCAAAATGGTCAATGTTTAAAATTTCACTCAGAGCATTGCAATTAAAGATAATTCCATAGTTTGGCTTATCCTTCCTGTTCTATTTGATGGTGTGGATCACTAAATATTGGGAAATTGGATTGAAAATTGCTGAGACATTTGCCTGTGTGGAGCCATGTAACAAATACGATTTGGGTGTCAGTCTGGCCTAGTTTGTTGCACGCTCACCTCTGAGTCAAAATGTTGTGGTCCCACTTCAGGACTGTGAGCTTTGCTGATACTCGAAGACAATGCTGGTAAAGTGCGGTTTGCTAGAGGCGACTTTGTGAGATATTCATTCGAGGTCCATCTGGAAGCTCGAGATCCCAAGGCAACAACAACAACAACCACAAAATTACATTTGTATAGTGCCTTTCACGTCGGGAGGACGTTGCAAGGTGCTGGACAGTCAGTGTTTTGGATCCAAGCTGAGGGTCAGGATTCGGGAGAGTGGAGGGCGGGGAGGCAGGGAGGGTGATCAAATGCATGGTCGAAGAGGAGGGTCTTGAGACAGGTCTTGAAGGAGCCAAGGGAGGGGGTGAGGCGGAGGAACTGCGGGATGGAGTTCCAGAGAGTGGGAGTAGAGTGGCTGAAGGCCCGGTCGCCAATGGTGGAGCGGGCGAGGCGGGGGACGTGAGGCAGGCCGGAGGCACCACTGAAAAAGAGAAAGGACTTTTTTCCTGGTGTCCTAACCAACAAGCTCCCAATATTTTTTAAAAACAAGATTTCTGTATGAATTCAAGACTGTTTGTGGGAAAATGGCTGTCGCTACACTGTACAGAAACTCTGAAGCTCTTTGAGATGTTTTCGATTGTGATAAGGCGTTAGATCAAATGCAAAGTCTATTATTGTGCACCATTTGATACTTTACTGGACTGGCTTCCCAATGTGTGCAACTTATTTGCTTTTTTTGCTGATATTTGTGGACTTGAGCAGAGGAATGACCTGTATAATTTAATCTCTCTTCCTTTAAACACTTCTGAGAGGAAATAAAGCTTTCTAGAAAATCAGATTATTCTTTTATACTGGTTGTTGGTGAGAGGGGAGGAGCAAAAACAATATGAAAACTCTTTGTACATTTGTTCTGCTTATGTGGTATTTTGTTGCCCAAATATGAATTGTGCAATTTAATACTAATGTTATTAAATACTAATAATATAATAATCCTTGCATTTGATATAGCGCCTTATCACCATTTTGAGACATCTCAAATCACTTCACAGAATATACTGTAAAGTGAATTGACTGTATATTTTGTGGGAGAAATTGTGCCAATTGTGCCACAAAGAGTCGTTGATTGAGTGTCCAAATTATTATTTTTGTTTAAGGAATAATTACCCCCGGAAAAGCGATCCGCCAATCGACTTAACAACCAGGTTCCTACTTACCTCTAGGTAAACAGAGGCCTGCAGAGTAAGGAAACTTGCCCAATGTTTCACCCTACCGGGAATCGAACCCAGGTCTCTCGCTTGAGAGGCGAGTGCTCTAACCACAAGACTCTATATGTAGTGCATTTACATTATAATAATTAATAATAATCCTTACATTTGATATTAACGTTATCAAATACTGGTAATTAGAGTTAATGATACATTAACAATATTTTATATGCAAATTGACTGCAAGCTTTAAAACAAAACTGTTTAAAAAAATTAAATAAATGTATTTTATTTCTCGATTTAGGCGGACAAGATTGGGAAAGCTTTCAACTACTTAGATGCTGCACTGTCATTTATTGAGAGTGGGATTGCTATGGAACATGAGGCACAACCACCGAAGTCTGCTTACACCATGTTTTCGGAAACGGTGGACTTGATCAAGTAAGTTCTCTGAACCGTCCTACTCCAGTGCAGCGACCAAATAGCCTTCTGTAATTAACAACATATTTTGAAATGTGTTAACAAGATTTATCATTTTCTTGTAAATTTTTAATCGCAAGTTGAAGTATTGGTGTTTTGTTTAAATTGTTTAACATATACAGTCAATTCACTTTACAATATATTTTGTGAAGCGCTTTGAGAGGTCTAGAAGACTTAATGATTTTTTAATTTGCACCTTCTTTACAGATACACAATGAAACTGAAAAAATTCACAGACTCTTCAGCAACTACTATAGAGAAAATATTTGTAGTATTGTGGTAAGTAGTAAGTTGCAGTCCGTAATTGCAGTGACTTATCTTGGCCAACGCGCTTCTCTACATGTCAGCCTTGCTCCCTGCTAGCACTCTTACCTCTGGATCAGTAGGTTGTGAGTTCAAGTCCCCCATTCTAGGCCGACTCCAATGCACTGCTGGTTGAGTGCTGCCTTGTTGGAGATGCTATCCTAAGGATGAGACATTAACCAAGGTCCCTTCTGCCTGTTCAGATATTAAAGATCCCACATCACTATTCAAAAAGAGAATGGAGTTTCTCTCGGTGTTCTGGCCAACAATCCCCAGATAAAAAATGGTTATTGCCTTCATTGCCTGTTTGTAGGACATTGGTGTGTGCAAATAGCTTGCCGCATTGGCCTACAAATACAGTTATTGCACTTTACAGCAAATCCTATGAAATGCTTTGAGCCATCCTCCCAACATGAACAGGGTGAGACAACATGGAAGGATTACTATTATTATTGCCTTTAAATATTACTGATTTTAAAAGTTGAATTACAATAAACTCCATTAACTCGCCACTTCAAAGGGAAAAGACTCTGTGATGAGTTATCCAGTGTGGCGAGTTAGGCCTATGTATAAATACATAAATAAGTGAGGCCAGGATATTGACTGCATGTTGACTTAACACAGGAACAGCAGTAGGCCATTCAGCCCCTTGAACCTGTTCCGCCATTCTATGAATTCATGGCTGATCTGTACCTCAACTCCAGTTAACCGCCTTTGCCCCATATTCCTTGATATTCTTATTTAAGACTTAATGCAGACTTAAGTGGTATAACAAGATAAAACAGGGTTGAGTTATCAGGAGTTTACTGTTTATTCATTGTTATCTATCCTTTTTATTATTTAAAACACAAAACATGTTTTGTACACCAATTGTGTATTGAGAATAGCAACATAACTGGTTTCCTTTTGTAACTTTTTTAACAGTATCCGCTGCCAGTCGCTGCTCTACATGGCAATGTTCCGATTTAAGAAAGACACGGCTGTGAAATACTCCCGGACCTTAACCGAACATTTCAAAGTAAGTGCAAGGACTAAACCAATGGATCCATTGATTAATTCGTGCAGCTCTTTCTTTAACATTCGGATCCCTTTCAGCAACTGCCTCTTGGTGCGTTAGAAGTGTTTTTAAATTTTAAAGTGAGCATCTTTGCCAGTGGGTGAATGCACTATGCGAGTTCGATATTTGGAGCAGATTCAATGCTGTGTATTGAGTTAACAGACCTTGGCTCAGGAACTGGTTTGGAGGATTATAACTGGCCTCCAATGTGATGATAAATCCCTATGGGGAATAGCCTGCTTGGTATTATCAGGGTTTCAACTCAAAGAACGGCCTTTTGGACAAGGTTCTGGAATATAGGGCTTCAGTGTTCTCTTCGGACTTCAATGTTTACAAAACAATAAATCAAATGTGTGTATTTTGTCCCAGGGTTCTTCCAGAACAGCTCAAGCTCCGTCTCCTTGTGTTGCCAGGTAATTAGACCATGCAGATGTAATGCTAAATCGATTATTTCATTCCTTTTTAAAAACATTTGATTTGGATTTCGTACAACATCATTGCACAAAGTCCATTTTTATTACATTTACTTATTTATTTTGGTTAGCCAGGTGTCTGACACATGTGGAAACCCATCGCCATGCTTAAGAGTATCCAAACCAAGCTGAGATTTTCATGCATTCCACCTACACGTGGAAATCCCAGAGATAGTGCGCATTCCATTCCAAAAATCTATCTCCCTGGAGGGATGCATCCTGCTTACCTAATATTGACTGATATATTCTGGTAATTAATTGGTTTACAACAATCAAATCAATATCACTAATGCTTCAGTCTGGGTGTCCTCGTGCATCCTTTATACGGACTGCACTGCCTTTACTATTCATCAACTAATGAATCAGAAAGTAAGCATGTGAAAGCCCGTGAAGTATATAAGCTATGTATTTGGACGAGACATCCAACCAAGTTAAGATGGATGTTAAAGATCCCGTGGCACAATTCAAAGAGAAAAGGGAGTACTTCCCAGTGTCTAGACACAATCCATCTCCAAATAAAATTGATCATTTACTACATTTCAAAGTCCTACAAACAGTCCTTTGCTGTGCGCAAATTGACTGCATCATTCGCCCATAAAATACACAGTAACTGCACTTTACTGTAAAATACTGTGAAGCACATAGACGTTTTGCCTCACAAAGCGCTCTATCAAATACAAGAGTAATTACCTAAGAAGCATGAGAGTGATTTGATGACTGATATATTGGATGGGAATGTGAGGAATGCATCTGATTATTATAAACTACTTGACCTTTGCGCTTGCAATTTCTGACGCTGGGGGTTATTCACCAAACAAATTTGTGATTTCCAATTTTAGTTTACGATTTTGAGATTTTTTAAAAAAAATTGAATCTCAAAATTGGATTAAAAAGGCTGGAAAAAAGAAGCCAGCAATTTTGCCTTCAAAAGATCCCAAAGCAAAACAATAAAGAAAACTCTGGCTTTTTTCAGACTTTGGCAACTTATGAGAATGGAATGGCGGGAGGATGGACTTTTGAGTCTCAAAATTGTGAATTACAAAACAACAATTTGGAATCAGCACAACAAATCTGGATTGTGAATATTATAGTTCAATTCCCATTCAATTCTGAATAGATTGGCTAAATTGTAGTCATTGCAATGATCCTCCTATGTGACCAGAAATTCATAAATCCCTTGGAAGTTTTTGTGGTCAGCTGGGTGTCTGACACATGTGGGAATCCATCACCATGCTTAAGAGTATCCAAGCCAAGCTGAAAATTCCATGCATCTCACCTCCATATGGAAATCCCAGAGAAAGATTGTTGGAATGGAATGCGCACTCTTAAAAGCCAAGCTGTTTAATTTCTAGGGTGTTCTGTGCATTGGGTGTGTGTTGAGGGCTAATTACTTGTCTTTCTGTCAGAAGCACTGGCACGCCTTCTCCGCTCTCTCAGACGCCATCCCCTGCCAGTTCTGCAGGCTCCCAGCCAGGATCAAATGTCAGTAGTGGTGCAAGCACATCATCTGTTGCCATTCCACAAACGATCCATCAGCTGGCTTCCACCTACGTCAACATCACCTCCCTCTTCCTTTGCGGCCATGACCTGTGGGAACAAGCAGATGCACTAGCAAAAAAACACAGGGGTAAGGAAAAAAATACAGGCACAACAACAGGGGAGGGTGACTTCCTCATCAATTGTAAAATCAACCTGTCACCTCTTTATAAAAGGTTATTAGAAGATAAAGTAGTGACCTCATGAAATGGTGGTGTGTTCGGGGGGGGGGGGATGTTTTTGAAAAACTAAAGTAACAATGTATGAAAAGTATGTAGTGCGAAAAAGGCTTCTTTTAAGTATATCTGGTGTTTAGCTAAACCACGCAGAGCAGAAAGATCTGTGCTGCATGAGGTGATCTTAGCCTTAGGTGACAGTAACAGGGTGCCACATTTGGTCGGTCTCATTGCACTGGGCTAAGTTATACTTTTTGCACCCCCCCCACCCCCCCTCGAGGTTCGTGTGTCAGGACAGAATTAGGTTTGGGATTGGTCCCTTACCAATGAAATCATAGTATCTTTTGAGGCTCTCATGTAAATAATAGTACTTGAATTGGAGGGTAACCAGCGACAATGGGACTATGTCCTCGATATGAAAAAGATTTATTGTCTTCAGGAGAGGGGAGAAATTTAGTGGGGTGGGAGGTGGAACTACCAATTAAAGTGATCTTACCTATGTCTGATGAATAGTTAGTTCATTTATTGTTTTTGCAGTATGTTGTAACTAGTTTAATTTTCTGTGTGTGAAGTGTGAAGCTCTAGTAGGAATATAAACTGTCAGCAGCCAGAGAACCTGTGGCGGATCACAGCAGCCCACAGAAAATGTTTTTTCTGGAACATCAAAAGCTCTGTTTTTTATATTAGTGGCAGATGCTGCATTTGTATATAGAGTTTCAACAAATTCAACGCGTTTTCAAAAAATAAATGTTTTTAAGTAAACTGTGCCCACATGTCAGAGGGCTAGAAAAGACTAATAGGTTTGAATTTATTTCATTGAGGTAGGAAAAAGTGCTACTCTTGACAGGGTTGGCGTTACTGGCACCCAGGCTGCAGAAGCTTTGGTCCTCTCAGGAGTCAGTGTGGTGACTTTCTCTCTCCCCCCCCCCCCACACACAGTTACATCATAGGAACTTTTTCCTACAGTAAGACAAACACCAGTAGTGCCACCGGCTCCAGGAGGAATGCTTTTTGGACACAAGTTATTTAATGTATTTTTAAAGCCCTTTCTCCTTCATGTAATCTACTGGGGCAATGTTTCCAGTGTGACTCATTTGCTTAGTTAATGATCAGATTAATGCAGTGCAATGGGAAGTGCTCTGACAAAACCCATTTTATCTCTTTCAGAATTTTTTCTGCAGCTGGATGCAGCAGTAGGCCCTTTAGTCATGACCAGCAGCATGGCTGAACTTGTGCACTGCACCAGACAAGGTTTACACTGGCTGCGGATGGATGCAAAGTTGCTATAACAAGTGCTGGAATGGGGTTCTTACACCAGCCTGTTTTGTCCTTCAGCGAGCAGCACAAGATTGCAGACTACACTGTGCGTGTTTCTTTTGTGGGGAGTGGGGAAGGTCAATTTGCAGGATTCCCTGTGTGGAGTAGATCGGCACTGAATTATGGCAAAAAAACCAGACTGAAGCTTCAAGGATTCAATTTACACTTCGTGAGCAAAAGTGCAATTTGGTCCCCCTCTTTCCCTCTCTCCCTCTCTTGTCACCCTCTCCCCACCCACCCTCCAAAACTCAGAGCTAGCAATGCACATCTCTTTGTTGAAGTGTCCTTGAATGTCAAAAGGGCTGAAGAAGCCTTCTGTGAGTCTGTATTAAGGCCAGGAAAGCAGCAGTAAGCTGTTGCCTTCTCTTATCTCACTAGCAGTGATGTAAGTATTGTGCATTAACTGCATTAATGTAGAAGAACACTTAACAGCTAAAGAATGTTGTATTCTGTCACCTGGACATGTTACAGTGACTTCCTGGACAGCTGACAGTCGAAGTGAATTTAAATGCGTCGCCATTTGTTGTTACACTAGGAGCTGTGAAAGACTATTTTTTGTGTGTGTTTAATTTTCATTTGTTACATCCATATTTACTGCCATTTCTTTACTATTTATTCAAAACAATTTTTCTCTCTGGACCTAGGTACTCCTACCAATGTGTTTGACAGAATGAAGCACAGGTTTGGCTGTGTGCGGTAGGAGGGGTTGACAAGTTATGTGCTCTGTTTAACAATTGCTTGCTCTCTACATAATTCAGATTTAAAATAACGTGCAGCTCCTCCTTCACAGAATGATCTATTAAATGTTCAGCGTGCCTTAGATATTCTACTATGTAAATCAGCAGTTGTTTCTAGCTGTAGATAAAATGCTGCTCTATGGAATTGGACTGAGGAAACTTTATGAAAAGTGTGTTGAATTGCGGTCCAGTTTACAGGACACGAGTGCAGTTTGTTTCCCACGTGGTTGTCCTTGTGTGTAATGAGGATTTTACACAGGTCACTTTTTCAGAAGTGTTTTGTTCCCTGTAGAACAGACTTGTCCTGAGCAAAGGCAAGCAAAGGGTTTGAGTATGAAATTATTCTTTTCAGAGGCATTTTCTATGTGCAGGGGTGCGGGGAGGGTGTTTATATTTAAAAAAATCATGGAGCCTTAGAAGACATCTAAATATCTGCCCCCAGCATTAGTTTTCTTTTTTTTTAATCTCTATTGCTACAAATTTGAGAGAAAATCTTCTTGATTGCTGTAGGTTATCAGCATTGCCGGAAAAAATCCTTCTCGGATATGTGGGAATTTTCGGCAAAACACTGCAAACCTGTTGGCAATGCACGAGCGTGGAAAATATCAAGCTGGGCTGTTTTTCTTTTTGCTCATCCCTAGTCTCGACAATGCTGACTGGATTGGCTCCCGTGTGCTCATAAAGCCCCACTGGCTTGCAGCAACTCCTGCTTCTAATTAATGTTACTGGAATTAATTTTATTTGAAATTGTACTTGCACATGTATTTTTGCTGGTTGGAATTGCTGCAGAAATGCTCGAGAGTTTATGTATTATATACACAGTAAAACCAAGTGAAATCGCAAACCCAGCACTGGCTGATCATTGAGATGAATGGGGAAGAAGGTTCCTTGTAGATGACTGCCCAGCAAGCTGTCCTGTGGCCATATTCTGCAGATGGCTCAGAAATTCATTGTTGCCAGTGCTATCACAAGGGCAACAGATGGAATCACAATGCACTTTGACTAATAAATTATTTTTCTCCTCTTTGTCCATTTCTCCTCCTCTCCACCCTCTTCTATACTGTTGTACAGTTTCAATTAATAGTTTCCAGGGAGAGATGGGAAGGTATCTCAAATAATACAAAGAGAAACTTAACTCACCTATTTTCCTCACCTGCTCCTCCCCACTCCCCCAACAAAACAAAATTATTGCTATTAGCACTTAAAACTTTTATCCAAGTAGATTTCCAAGCTATAAATAATGTGTGCAAATATTTTGTGCAATGCAAATCTACACGCACGTTTACCATCCCCCAGGCATGAAAGCAGAATAATATATTTGCATTTCTCAATATAAATTGTGTATTGCTTGTTGTGGGCGTCCACGTTGGATCTCAGTTTTAATTGGAGTTTGCAACTGTTAAAATACTGCCAACTGCTCGGAAGAAGGAAGGAAATGATTGCAATAAAATGCGGTGCCTTTTTTGTGTTCCTGCCCAGCCTGGTGTGTTCAGAGAGCCTTCTGCAAGACTATAATTGTCGAAAGGGTAGTAACTTTGTGTGGCGAAAGTGCTTAGCTGAGACTTGAGACCTTCACCACATACCTAATGGTAGGGGTGAGAGCCACCATTTTTGGCGATCCTTATTGCAATGACTTGTTGTATTATGTACTGTCACTGTATTATCTTTTGGAGTTTAATAACTCTGAAGCTCAACAGCCAAGACAAATCAAACACTGAATATTGTAGAATGCTTCCTTATCAAGCACACATTTAGATTATTGATCAGTTGGTAGATCCACTCAGTGTCTGAAGTAAACTGAAGCAAGTGTGTAGTTTGAAGTATTTTCTCGAAGGACACAGAAAATCTTGTGGGATTAGCCTTGGTGCTGCATGCATTGCTTTGCAGGTCTTTGAGTAAAATAGCCGAGCTACATTATTTAAACACGGTTTATTCCCCATATCATAAGATAGATAGCCATCTAACTACAAAAATGAAAATCATGTCTGAGCTTTTTAAGAATATTATTTTTGTTGGCAAGAACTATGTGATAATTGCCTATCTAACCCAGGCATGTTGAGTACAGTTTCATTTTCCAATGATGATTATTTGCACCTTTGACACATGAATCATGGTCAGCAAAGTAAATGAAACGATGTGTTTCTTTATACACAGTATATCTATCGGGATGGGTGGGTGGGGGGGGGCGGGGAGAGAGAGGAAGTGGGTTGTTGCCACATCAGTGGTGCTTTTAGCTCTGAAACTTATGTCAAAAGAATTCCCGACACCATTCAAATCCCAGACAAGCATTCAGATCCTTTCAGTTTATTATTCCATCATTTCTTCCTCCCCTTTCTCCCCTTACGACAGTTAGATTCATGCAGGAGTACATGTCATTAGCACTGGCACCCTCCAGTAGCTCACCCAAAGCTGTCATGGTTCAGCCACAAGCCTGGGCACCAGGCGCTGGTGAGCTACTGGAGTACAAAGGAGGAGGAAGGAAATCACAGCCAGTATTGATTCTTTCTTCACCCAAGTGCCTACGTGTGCATTTCCAACAAGGGTCACTAGATCTGTGAGAGTTTGTGTATTACGTTTTTCATTTAATTTCCCCTCTAGCCTTTGGTCCTAAGCACAATTGTAGCTTTTCTCTCTTCTCTTTACTCTTCCACCCGCCCATTTCCTGCACCACCCCCCTCCCTCCCCTCCATCTGCACAAAAGAGAGATCAAACCTGAGATCTTCCAGCACTATGTGGCTTAATGCCACACACCACATGGTGCATTTATCCACTGAACTATTGGGCAGGATTCTGATCACACCAAAAACATATTCGATGCTAGATTCTTGTTGAGTGCACTGGGTTTTGTAAAAACATTAGCTGATGACAGAATTATGGAGCTGTCTGATCTAATTGTACTTCAATAGAAAAACTTGTGACATTTAGTTCCGTTGAATGTCCCTGGCTAGTGAACTCCAATGTGATGCTTTTGTTGTGGACTTTAGTTCTTTCACAAATCTTTCTATTTGAAAGAGTCATTGTGCAAATGCTGGTAGGACTGTAACAATGGTGTTGTTTGCACCCACAGTGATCGTATTTGATTTAAGGCTGTTTTATCCACTCCAAGGTCCTGAATCATACATTGGTTGATATAACGCTGGCAAATTCGTATAGCCTTTGCACTCCAATAATTTCCAAGATAAATTGAACGCAATAAATCTGGTATAAAGTTTGTCTTTTATCTTGCATTTTTTTCAGAGCCATTTGTGCTCCTCCTCCACTCTGTGATGTGCACAGTTCTGCTGCCGACAGGGCAGGTTGTCCTTTGGTGCTCCTGTCACTGGAAAATTCAGCCCAGATTGGCTGCCCCTCAGATTCTTCCATTTCCTCCCCCCCCCCCCCCACACCCACCACACACACTTGTCTACCCTCAATCCCACAGAGATCAGAAACTCTTCTTGCAGGAAACTGTAAGATTTTGAAGTTTCAAATAAAAATGAATCTGAAATGTTTGCTCTTCGTACATTGCACAGTTTGGCCTTTGCCCTGTGGCCCAACAACTGCCAGATTCTGAATGTTCTGAAATGCTTGAGATTCAGGTGGAATTTCACCCTAACCATGTTAGGTAGTTACATACTTTGCATATTTCACTCCAGGCACTAAACGTTGAACCTTTTGATCCATATTACAGTACAAATTATCAGACTGGGAACAACACTGTGCAAGCAAAAAGTTGGTTTTACATGTATACAAAACTTTTTCTGTCGCTAGTTTTTGTATTTGGAACTTTACTGCTTTCTGCCTTAAACCAATTTTGAGCTCCACCCTTCACTCCCCCCGATAATAATTGCTTACAACCAATAAACAGTAAGTGTGCCCAGGTTTCTTATGGGAGGTCTGCCTTCTTCTACTCTCTCACACCTGCCACATCTCCATATTTACCTTGCATTCATTGCATTATTTAAGAAAAGTAAATTTCTATGAAAGAAATCTATTATGAAGTACACAGAGAAACCTATAGAAAACAAAAAGTCTCATTTACCAAAAGGAATGGTGGGTCCAAACTGGGTTGATTTGAATTAATGCAAAATGCCGGGTTAGTTTGAGGTAAATTGTATCCAAAACAATGAGGGATATTTGTGAGTGTATTTATTGTTCCATTATTGACCAAGACATTTAAGTTTTATTTATTATGCGTGGAATGCCAGCCAATCTAGGACCTTTATATTCATTGACTTTTCCTCTTGCCCCATTCCATATTCTCAAAGCCTAACCTCCAGAGGTCAATGCCAAATTTCCATTAAAAAAACCTAAACAATCACACAAGTGCTGGTTGGTACTGTTGTCAAATACACTAATGTCTTCACACTACAGGGCACCTTCAGTAAACCTTAACTCTTGTTTATTGCACTTTTTTCTATTTAAGAATACAGTATTTGCAGTGCTCAGAGAGGAGTGGGCTGCTGTTCTGCCCGTTAACTGAAAGGATAAATGTGTACAGTATAACAATGTCATTTTTCCCGACCAAGGTATTTGTTACTAGACTAACTCAATGTATTTTTGAACCATTTTAACAATTTTTTCTTTTACATTTGAAATATGATTGATCTTTGTGTCAGCAAAGTTTTTTTGCATAAAAAGGCTTGGATGCCTTGGTTGTATTGAAGACTTAATGCATATGATTTTTTTGTTTCAATTTCTGGTTGAATCAAGTAGAAAACGTTTGTTCTTCCACCTATGTTTTTATGTTTAAGATGCTCAGTGAATTTATGAATTACTTTTTCTGATGTGTGACTAAATATCAAGGGTTAATGATTGCCTTTCCTCAGTAGATCTCAAAATGCATTTCTTCATAAATTATTGGCAAACCAAAGTACTTTCATAGAACCACCATAATAATCAGAAGCTTGGCCTTCAGAGTGATTCAATGCATTATATAAAAACAACTGAGAAATTCAATTGGTCTCTTGGCTAAACTAACTCTGGCAAAACACCATTAGTGGCACATCTGATCAATTTTGCCCATTCTAATATTCTGAACCTAATGGGTTATTTTAAATTGTGCATTAAAATGTTATCAAAGGTATCCACTACGAGAGCATACATTTTAGAATCCACAGAGTTTCCTTGTTAATGATAGTTGAAGAAGGTTCTGGATCAGGTTGTGCTTAAAAACTGTAGACGATTGAGTTTTCCCGAGCTACATTGACTCAAAAGTAAATGTATTATTGGAACACTGGGAGTACCTGCTTCTTGTGATTAATTTGCAAGCAGACCCAGGCAATTAATTTTTTTTAAAAAAAATGCAAACTGAAGGTATTCTAAAATGGCAAAATAGCTTGCTCTGTGACGTTGCTTAAGTTTCAAGAACTGAATCATGCAAACAATCTGTATTTAGCCAGTTTCAGTAAGAAACTTACACTCTTGGGCTTCAGTAAATAATTAGTGGTCTCATACCGTGGAACAATTTGCTGCAGATCTGTGGTGAATTTAATTTGTTTTCTTTGTGTAAAACCTCAACCTGATTACTTCCAAAAGAAGCTCTTTTAATAATGATCTACAACATCATAGTGATAGGTGACAAAATTGTTTAATTACAGATTCTTCCCCTTTGACAGAAATAAATGTTTTTCTGTAAAACAATAAAGGTTTTCAAAAAAAAGATTTGTCTTCATTTTGTTCCAACTGTTGTACTTTTATTTGGTTAAAAGGAGCAGGAATCCAGAAAAAGCCTGAGATGGGCACAATAATTTAAAAGGAATTTAATTTAATTTTATTTGTTAGCACCCTTGCCTATGAGTCAGAAAGTTGTGGGTTAAGCAACCATGTTGGGACTTTGAAGTCACTAACTCCAGTTTGCTTTGGATGAGATATCAAAAACTGAGGACCCATCTGTCTGTTCAGGTGGACATTAAAGAGAGGTTAATGGCACTGTTCAAAAAGACATTAGAGTTTCTCCCAGTGTTCTGACCAACAATGCAACCAGGATGGAG